GCGTTTTGATGAATAAGGATATACAGTCTCGGATGATAAATTTCTCAGGCATGTTGCAGGAAAAATTACCAGAAATGCTCCTATTTGCACACAGACCTTAATGTTCCCAAAGGAAAGAAAAGCAACAGACAAATTACAACTTCAGTTCGAGTCTCCCCCTTAGTGTTAAAACTCTCATGTAAGACGGGAAAAAAAACCAAAGAGGTGTACCAAGCTACTTCCTCTCCCCCTCGTTTTCAGCCGAGGGACTGGTATCATCGTCTGGTCAGGGTGTGACAGATTGTCTTCCTCCTCCTCCTTTTCTTCCTCCCACGGCCCGGGCCCTCAGCGCGGGAGGGATTGTGGCGGTCCCCAAGGGATGTTCGAGGGGCTGCTGCTGCTGAGTACAGGGCAGTAACCTCCCCGTCGAGGAGAGGAGGCAAATCCTCCTCACTGACAGAAAACCGGACAGTTCCTGCTTCCTTCTAAGGGCTGTTTTCTGTTTATAGTTTGGATGTGATTTGCTCCCCACTTAGTTGAAATTCTCGTCGTTATCGGGACGGGGAAGCTGTTCCTTATGGCACAGAAGGCTTGGCCCCGGGTGGCCGGCGCGGGCCCCCCCCCGCAACCCCCCGCAGGGGGTTTCCCCGCAGGGAAGCCCCGACCAGGCTCTCTCTCCTCTCCAGTCCGGAGGAGCTGGCCTTTCCCGCACGCCGGGACAGGACAAAAATAACACCCAGGAAAAGTCTTCGGTGCTCTGCAGTGCCTCGGGAGGCAGAGGGCCCCCAGCCTCTGCTGGCGTGTGAAGTCGCGTCTGCAGAGAAAAACCACGCGGAGCCGAGCTGGGACATGAGCTTGTGCTGCAGGGAGGTTTCTCCTCTCTAAGGCAGAATCCGAGCTTGCAGAAGGGTTGGAAGAGCGGCAAGAGCTTCTCCCCAAAGGACAATGTACCTGGGACCAGCCCTAGCCCCCCACATACGTCCCGCTCTCGGCTCGCAGCCCGATCTAGCTCTGTTCGTTTCCCGGAGGTTACCAGCGAATTTTCTTTTGCATCTTTGGGCTCGCACTCGCCCCTCGAGGAGGCGAGTGCAGCCTCGCGCACCGCGGAGCCCCCCGCGGAGCCCAGACGGTCACGGAGCCGCGGGCAGGCAGCACAGAGTCCCTACAGCCGCTGGCGAAGCCCGGAGGAGGGTCTGGTTGCCTATGCCCGTCATTGGGAACAGATCATCGGTGTAGTCAAATCCTGCCCGCAGGATACGAAGGGTTTTTTTTTTTTTTTTTAATATTTAAACTTTTTCTCTCCTTTTTTTTTCTTTCTTCCCCCTCACCCCCCCACCCTTCGCCCCCCCACCCCTTTCTTTCCCAAAGACAAAAGAGAACGAAAGAAACCAGATTCCAGTTTCCAAAGGAGTAAATAAAAGTCCCGAGGAGCCCTCGTTAGAACCGGTGCCCTGGTGCCACTGGAAGGGACGGGGACGGCGGCGTGCCAGCCCGTGGATGGTCCGGGATGCTCTGCTCCGCGTCCTCGCTTGTGAACCGACGGACACGGCGGGACGCGCGCCCCGACCGGGCAGCCGTTCGAGGTAAGGCGGCGTGCTCTCGTTTCTCCTCCGCTTCCCAGACCGCTCCGTGCACCCAGGGTTGCACACACAGTCGGTGGCCACCCGAAACCCGCCTTCCCCAGGGGAAGCTGCCCCGTAGGTCTCGTTGTGGTGCGGGTTGCTCGGGGGAGCGGGGCACAGCTCGCCGCCGTCTCGGCGGCTCCCTGCGGCCTACTCCGGCCCTGCGGCCCACAGTGAGCCCCTCTTTGTTACAGCTGAACATTTCGTTTTTGGAGGACGCGAGCGTCGGAGTGGAGGCAGAGATTCCCCGGGGGAAGGCGGGAGAGCATCGGCACGGCACGGCGGGGCGGCGGGAAGCCTGTGCCAGCCTCTCGGCTCTTTCCCTTATTCCATCCTTTTCCTCGTCCCGGGGCGTGGGGCTCCCCGCGCCTCATCGAGACTCCTGCTGTCTTCTGGGTGCTAGGCTGGGGGCGAGAAGGTCCCTGGAGGTCCCCGAGGTCAGGTTCCCGGCGGGGCATGGCTGGAGATCCTCCTTGTTCTGGAGCTCTCCGGAGGTCACCACGCAGTCTTGCTCGGGGTCATTGCTGTTGCCCGCCCCGCGCTTTTTGTCCTCTTCCTTCTTCCACTTCATCCGCCTGTTCTGGAACCAGATCTTGATGTGCCTTTCGGTCAAGTTCAACATGACAGCCAGCTCCACCCGTCGCGGCCTGGAGATATACTTGTTGAAGAGAAACTCCTTCTCCAGCTCCAGCAGCTGTGCCCGCGTGTACGCCGTCCTCGTCCTCTTGTTCTCCTCCGGTTCAACTACACAGGACCCCCCTGGAGAGAAGCGAGAGTCAGTCTCGGCCCGCCTGGGTGCCCCATAGGGCTAGGGGGGCCACATCCCTGCACCTCTGCACGGAGTGGAGGACACGCGGGGGAAGCAAGCGGGGTGAAGGAGAGGCCTCGGGGAGCTCTCCGGCTGGGCACAGTGAGGTGGTGCTAGTGGCGGCAGTCACAACTGCTGCTATTTTATTTTATAATAATTTAATATTTTTTAACAATAATTCGGATGAGATTTTCACGGAAGCGCCGTCCCTCGAGCTGTGGGAGACGCTCACGTGCCACCGTTTGCGTGTCACTGAAAGCTCCGAAGGGGTCCCGGATCCAGGGTTGCAATTGCTTGCGTTTGTGACAAAAAAGAGAAAAAAAAAAAAAACAAAGAAAAAAAAACACAAACAAAACCAAAACCAAAACCAAACAAAAAAACCCCGAACGCAAACCAAACAATGATCCACCACACACAGAGAAATCAAAACGGAAAAAAATAACCCCTCCAAAACACCACCACCGCCAAAACTCTAAAGAAACCAACGCACCAAAAAAACCCCTCTAAAACAAAGCAACAATAATTGTTGGGCTGCCGGGTCGGGAGCGGGACTAGGGCCAGGAGCGGGACTGGAGCCCCTTCGTTTCGCCAGGTTGGTGAAACTTTGGGTTTCTTGTTCCCGTAAAAAGCGGCAGTAGCTCAGTCGCCGTTCCCAGCGTGGCCGCCGCACTCCTGCGACGGCACTGGGGAGCGGGTGATACAGGCGGCTCATCGAGAGCACTGTAACTCAGGGCCGCTTTTACCAGCTCCAGACCCCAGCTGGTCACGCTTTCGGGGGTGATATCATCTGTAGGGAACGGTGATTTAAACAGACAGCAAGACACAGTCATTTCAAGAGATCTACGCGGAGTCTCCCACTGCTCATCTTTCTATTCCCATGATTCTATATTCATTTATTTATGCAGTGTTTGTAAGTATAAACTTATGTATATAAACTTATATATGTATTTAAATATATATTTAAATATACATGTAATGTTTACAGATAAAAATCCTATTGTGTGTGTATATGCATAAATATATATTAAAATCAATGTGTATATGTATAAAAATATTTGTAAATCTAAACCTATGTATAAACCCGTATGCATGTGTTTGTAGCTGAAAAAAAATTTGTTCTATTACTGTAAAATAAACTAGTGCTACCTGGAAGGCGGAACGCCAGGGATCTATCGGAGGCCGGGCACCAGGAGACGGCCGGCAAGCCCCGCGCCGGCGGCGGAACCCGGAGTCGGGCACGGCGGGTGGCACAGGGCCGGGCTCGGCCGCGGCTTCTCTGGTCACCTTTCCCCGTCAATAGCAACGCAAAGCCCCGCAGCATCCATGGACGCCTAAGTCCCAAGGGTTTCCACTAAAAATAAATCCCGGGGGTATATAGTTTGACACATACACAGTACAAAATACGTCGGGGGTTGGCTACGAGGGCTGCGTCGGCACAGCGCGGGGCCCTTTTAGGTCTGCGGGAGTGCTCTGGCAGGAAGGACCCGGTGCTGCGTGTGCCTGTACACACATCTCACGGACCGAGCAATGCACGGCCCCTGCCTGCACCTCCCGGGAGGGCTGGAGGGAACAGGGGAGAGTTTTAGGCTTCCACGGGGAAAGTTTCTCTTTTCTGCTGGTTTTGTCACTCCTTGGGTACAGGAAACAGAGAAAGAAGATGTAGTTCAAAAGTTTGGGGTTTTTTTCTTTCTTTTTTTTTTTTTTTTTTGGTAATATTATTATTCCAGAAGTACATTCAACTTAATGAAAATTATCTGATTTTCTCTCCTCCCCTCCCCACCTCCTCACTGGCACAATCTCTGCCGCCGTGTCCGCGGCTTGGGACAGCGTGCTCTCCTAACCCTTGCTGGCAGATGCGCCTCTCTGGAGATTGGAGATCGCCACCTGTTCTTCCCTCCCCCTCGGTCCGTCCCATGCAATTCCCAAACTATTTCATAGTGATTTTAATACTCCGGTCCTTTTTTCAACTGTCTATTTGAACAAAGCCATTAATATAATATTTGCCCTATAGGTGTGACGGAGGCGAAGGACACGATAACATTGTGAGGGCAGAGACAGAAATATTGTTGGGCAGCGGAACTTTCTGCCTAGATAGAGTTTCTTCCTCTCACTGGCAGCTCTGTTTCGTTTGTGCATTGTTTTCCCTGCCTTGTTTTTTTCACTTGGAAAGGTGCAATTATGGCTAAAACCCGTCGGGAAGCAGGAGGGGTGGGAGAGAGAGACCAGGACGAGAGATGGGCTCTGCACGGAGGAAAGCCTAGAGGCAGAGGAAAGGGGATCGGCGGCTGCTCCGGGGGCTTGGGGGTTGCTCCGCGCCCGCACAGTGGGGGCTGTCCCCTGCCCGCCAGCCCTACCTGCCGCTCCCCGCCCGCTCCACCTCGCAGGTGCCTCCGCACCCCTGGCCTCGCCCTCCGCGGACCCGGCCCCCGCGCGGAGCTCACCGCGCCCGCGGACACACCGTGCTCGGCGAGGCGGCAGCGCCCAGGAGCCACTTGCACATTGTCTCAACTTGGCCACAATTAGTTAATTGGTGAAAAATAATTCGTTAATAATTGCTCAGGCGCAGGGAGCGGTGAGCCCGCCGGCACGGACTGGGGTGTCGGCTCCCTCCCCGGCGTTAAACCCAACGGCAGCAGCCGTAGAGCAGCGGGTCTTGAGGGGCGGGCTAGGGGGAAGCGACCCTCCAGGACCTCTCCACAGTACATCCGAGCGGTGGGGACAGGACCGGTGCAAGGGAGGGTTCCTGACCGCCGAGAGGGAGAGAAGCGGGGGAGCAGAGGCAGAGGGAGGTGGTGGGGCTTACCGGTCCACTGTCCCTTCCAGGCGTGAGATTTGGTGGACTTCATCCAGGCGAAAGGCACCTGCACTCGGGGCTCCTCTACAGCCCCCGTGTCCGCCCCGTCTGAGAAAGGCAACGCGTCCTGGTGGGGAGGAGGAAGATGAGCGTGGTGGTGATGGTGATGAAGGTGGGAGACCCCGGCATCCTCAGTGATGGGGGGCACTTCGTAAGGTGAAATGTCTGGCGGGCTGCCTTGCTCGAGAGCCCCTAAGGCGCTGGGATAAGGAGTCTGTTGCTGCCTGCCCATGTACAGGCAGGCGGGGGGGCTGGGGTTGTAGTCCTGCGCCTGAGCTCTTTGAAACGCGCACGACTCCTTGTAGAGCTGCGCCGAGGCGTAATACTGCTCCTCGGTATTCATGGCGAGCGGAGTCAGGGGGTTCTCTCAGCTTAGGGACACATAGGGCTGCTCCCGCTCCCGGAGCCCAGGATGCCTCTTTGACAGCTGGCAGCCCCGCCGAGCCCCACCGCCCTGCCCGGCTCCCGCCGCCTCCCCATAGGCGCCTCTCCCCCACGTGAGCCCTCCCGCAGCCCTCCGGGGCGGGGCGCGGACCGTAAGAGGCCACCCGGGGTGGCCCTGGTCCCGCAACCCCCTTGCCCTCAGTCGGGCCGGCCCCAAGACCCCTTGCTCTTCTGCCGGGTGCCGCTCCCTGCTTTGGGATGAGGAACCCCGCGGCGAGGGATTTACGGGGCCTGGTAGGGAGTCGGGGGATTGCCCCGAAGTGCAGGGCGCTCGGGGAGGGATGGTCCCTAAACACACCTTTTCCCTCTTCCACTCGCTTGCCCAGGAGAGGTTTATAAGCCAACACCCCTCGGGCAGGGAGAGGAAATCCCTCCGAGGGCTGGGTAGATTCGGCTCCTTGAGGGGTTTGGCATAAGGGCACTTCGGTCTGCGAGGGCATCTCGGCTAAGGATGCGGTGTCCGGGGACGAGCAGAGTGCGCCAAGCGGGCGCTTCCTCAGGGGGACCCGTGTGCCAGAGCCCTGGGTGAAGGCCAGGACCGGCTTTTTGCCCTTTCACCCCTACCTGGGGGGATGTGACCGGTGAGGACCACAATGCTATCGCCAGAGCGAGCGATAGGCAGCGGATTGTTTGCCCAAGGGGTAAATTTGGGAGCCTTTCCCGCGGCTTGGGCTACAATGTGTTGACCCTCGGAGATAATCTGCTCCAAGCTGGTGCCGGTTGACTAGGTGACGAGGCTATGAGGAGGCGGAGAGCTACCGAAAGGGACAAAGATCATTTCCCTGCCTCCCTGCACTCGGCCCGGCCGCCGCTCTCTCCGTCTCGGCCGCAGGCACGCTTCCTATGTGCCCGGCCCGCCTCCTTTCACCGCCGCTTTCCCCGACACCGGGGCTTCGCCGCCGCCGTCGGGGCGAGCACTCGCCCCTCCGTGTAGGGTGCGTGCGGTCGGCCCGGCCCGGTTTGGCTCGGCTCGGCCAGTGACGATGTATACCCCGAGCGGCGAGACAGCAGAGTCCCGGTACTTCGCTCCTGCGCCCGATTCCGTGGGATCATAAACCCGCCCAGTCCATTACACTTAAAATGAGTTTCCGCTCTGAACTCACGCGGGTCCCCCATCTCTTAGAAAGCACACTGAGCCTTTGATTCAATATTGAGCCATTAAGCGATTGCTTTCCCGAGCCATTTAACAGCAGCTCTTATGGATAAATAAACAAAAAAGGCTGTAAACCAATTATAGTGCGGATAGCGAAAAAGTATTTTATTAGCGGGAATTACCGATAGACATCGCTGCTGCTCGGGCTCCCCGCGCCCGGCACCCGCCCCCTCCATCCCCTGGCATGCTGAGCAGGGTACGTGTCCCCGCGGAGCCCGCAGCCAGTGTGCGACCAGAGGGAATGCGCAGCTCCGTTAGTGGGGATTTCTCCCCGCCAGCTCAGCACGCCTGCGGTGCCTCAGCTTACATCTCTTGCAGACACGGGTGTCCTTTGATCTGGAGACGTCTTGTGCTCTCACCTCAGCCCAGCATCACCAGCTCCTTCCCCAGAGATCTGCTCCCTGCAGCACTTACTTCTCCGGGTTTTCCACGGGGAACCGGCGCGGATAAACAAACGCGAGGCCATAAAACCCAGAGCAAATTGATTCATCTCCAGGGAGGACCATTACCCGATGTCTTAATGCGGTCCTCTCTATATAACGAACGTCTCCAAACAGAGCAAACACTTCCCCCTACAAAGCAAATGAATTTCGTATAATTTAGAGCTAATTCTCTTTCATTCTGCCTGCGTGAGCAGTCGATAAGGACACGCTTTGCCGTTCTAACAACGAGGAGGTGAGCTGCAGTGCAGGAAAAGGGCTCCGCTGGGTATCCCGGCACTGGGGACCCCGTCCAGGCCCTGGAGTGGTGGTGTCCCGCAGCCGGGGGTCCACGGGATGAGGAGCTGACCCCAGCTGGAGCCCGAGCCCAGGGATCTCCGTGTCCTGCCTCCTCCTCCTCCTGGGATGCAATCACTGATACTTGGCTTAAGAGTCCTTCCGCAGCTGTGGGTTCCCAGGAGAAGTTTCTGAACTGTCAGTGGGCCCCATCCAAGTACCCACTTGATGTGGAAAAAGGGTGATGGAAGAGGCAGATGAGAGTGATGGGAATGACCAATGTCCCTGCTTGCCTCAGGACCGGACTCTGCAGACATCGCTGCATCCACACACATCACCTCAGACAGTCGCAGCAGGGTGTGCATATGAGATAAGACACCAAACATCTACCAAATTTCCAGAATTTTCTATTCCAAGAATTTCCTGAGCACTGTGAATGTTTTAGTCCTCAGATGATTTTACCACACTTTGGCTCTCCCCTGGAACCATATGTAAACATTTTGCCTCCCACCACTTCGTGGCGAAGTGTTCCCCAGATTAAGTGCTGCTGTGTGTGACACTGCTGACCCTACACCTGGCTGCATTTAATCAGTCTTAATTTTCCAACAATAAGAACCTTGAGATGTGTAGGCGCAATATAAGAAACTAAAAGGTGCATCATTTCCTCTAGCTCCCATGTAGACTTTGAATGGTGAGCCCAGAGTCTCCTGTCTATATATTTTCATTTCCCTGCTGAGAATTTACCCTGTCCTTACTCCTCAAGTCTTTGGTTTTGGCAGGCTTGGAGTGACAAGAATCTTGGCTGTCCTCAGTCTGAAAGTAACCATGTGCAGAAAAGATGTCTGGTACAAATATTATTACCACTGATAGATGTACAGCCAACTTTTAATTATTGAAAACAGAAAAGTAAAGGACACGTTGCACACTAAAACAAATTAATAATGGATCAGGTAGATTCTCCCTCACCTTAAAGCCTCTCTGGACATATGCTCCAGTTCAACTGGAAGTCCTGTATTTTACCTGCTCTAGGAAGTTTTTAAGGACTCTAGAAGCCCTTCACAATTTGGGGATATTTATGACCTGCGTGTTTAAGTCACCCAGCTTTATCAATGAGCTGGAAAGTTCACACTTCCAGCTCACTTTTGTCTCTGATGCGTGAGCGTTGTCCCACAACCATTATAATACAGTTGTAGTTCAGGTTGAGAAAAACCTCTAGATTTGAATATCTGCAGGGAAGGAGACTCCACAACATCTCTGGGCAGCCTGGCCTAGTATTTTGTCAACCTCAAACGAAGGAAGTATTTTCTCATATTCAAATGCGTCTTTCCATGTTTCAGTTTGTGCCTATTGCCCCTTGTCTTGTTGCTGGGCACCACTGAAAAGTCTGGCCCCATCCTCTGACACTCACCCTTAAGATATTTGTCTGTATAAATAAAAATTCTTATAGTAAGCTTGCTCTTCCAAGAGATTAAACAAAAATGAATCTATGATTCTATACCAGTAATTGAAGGATGGTGGTGATAGCAGCAATGTTAAGTAGGACAGCAGGTTGTAATTATCCTCTACACAAGTGCAGGAATTGATGTATTCGAGCACCAGTAACAAATGTTTCAGGTACTCAGCTGTTGCCATCCTGCAGTAAGATCACACAATAACTGCACTGCAATACTTGAATTACCAAGTATGTTGTAAGGACTTGTTAAGATCTGATCACATTCTCTAGCCTGCTCTTCGCCTCACAGAGAAGAGGCAATCTGTGTGGTTAGTCTTATTCTGTATTATATGAAGCCTAAACATTTGAAATATAATACAAATCTCTCTGAATAGCGAGGGGTTTGCAAAGCAAAGTCACTTACTTAATGCAATATCTATGTGGTTTTAAAATATATGCCAACATGTGCAACATGCCTCTTGAAATTCAAGGGCGTTTTCAACGTTCTCACCTTTGAATGGTTAATATAGGGGCTTAATGTGAGTCACTGTATTTTGGAAGTCTTGCCCACTTCTTCCCCAGTAGTGTCTGACAGGTATCACCACAGGCTGCTGAGATCAGTGAAATGTAAAACCACCTGGATGCAGTATAACTTTTTTCCCCTAGGAAAGGTGACAGGAGCATTTCGTTTGCCTTTCAATGCAAGTAATTTGTGAATCCCTACTAACTTATCTCCCTTTACGATCAATGATAGTTTCCTCATTCCTCCCACTACCCTGACTGTCTGATTAGAGTATAAAATAGTAAGGAGTATAGTTCAGTCACACTTCCCTAAAGTAATCTGGTTTGACTTTCTGTATCTGTATAATATTTAACGACTTCTCAGTGCTTAACACCTTTTGTGGAATCCACATTTAGACAGAAAAGAAGTACTGAAGGTGAGTGAAACATATTCATCATAATCTTTTTCTCTCTCATTTTTCTCTCTCATCTGTGCTCAAACCTACACGGGAAAACTGTATCTGTGACAAGGTACCACAGTGGGAGAAGAAGCTGACTGGGAAACAGAGCTTTCCCAGGGATTGATTTTTAACCCCCCACCATGGCTGTATCTAGCAGAAAGGTAACCTTTCACAAAGCTGGTTAATAATCAATAACCATGTGAAAACAAATCTGTCTTTCCCTCTCAGAACTAACGATAAAAATGAGAGCATGAATTATTCCACCTACCCTAAAGTAAGACTGGTTCATCAGTTTTGGGTTTTTTTTGGCAAGAGGCTTTTTTAGATCTCAGAGTGATTCAGCATAGGCACACAGCAGCTTCAGTTTGCTCTTCCCACCGTGCATCAGCTTCTTCACACTGCAGGTGTGGGCCACAGCTTGAACTGCAGGAAGACAAGTTTATGTAAGCCATTTTGAATAAGAACTTGTTTAGCAAATATATAGGGAAGTTGCGTTGGGAAGTCTGAGAATAGTAGAGGGTCTTATATGCATAATCTCTTTTTGCTTTTTCTATTTTACACCTTTTAAATTTTTTTTCCATGTCCCCCAATATTAATGATTTCATTTTCTGGTAGGGATAGGAAACACAATTTCATTGTCTTGTAAGAAGAGTTGAGGAATTACTTTTGAATACTGTGAACCTTCCCACTGAAAACACAGCTATTTCATGTTGTCTGCCTCACACAACTTTATGTTTTCCAATTAATGTTTATTATACCAGATAGGAGTAGAAAAAAATCAATATGTACACACACACACATATATATATATTCAGATAGTTACAGCAAAAGGAATTCAGGGCAGAATCATAACCCTGAAAGAATTCCTCCTCACATCCCTTGCCTGCTTAATTTTTCCCCAAAACCCCAGGCTCTTTGAGGCATGTCAGGTTTGGGGCTCAGACAGAACCTGGCCAGGTGGCACCTGGCAGTTCTCACCATAGTACTCCCCTCTTGTTTGTCCTTTGTAACTTTGCCTGACTTCAACCATTTGAGCTGAAATTTTCCATTCTATATCTCTGCCTCTCACGAAACATGTGGGGAAACTTTCCTTAAAATTTTTTGTACAGGTACAAAAGGGAAGCTGAGAAACTCTGATGCCCAGCAGCTGGCTGTGTGGAGAGGGCGTGGAGTTGTTGCCTCCTCTGCAAGTCTCTCGAAACAACAGTGACCATGTATGTCTGATCACAAATCAGAATAGAGGACTAGAATAGATGACACCCTGAGACAGCAACTTGACACACTTTTCCTGCTCTGTTTTCTTAGCAGCTGTGTTTCTTTGCTGGATTTAAGTATGTTAGAAGTCCTGCTGGGATGTTGTCACACACCAGTGTCCCTCCAGGCCAATCTCTGTGCAAAGCTGCCTACATTTAGTCAAAGTTTGAACTGCTGCACATCACTTAGCAGCTAAGTCCTTTACAACTCATTTACAACAGTGAGCAGATCTCTGCCCTGGTCCTCAGGACTGAATGACAGCTCACTGCTTGGCAGTTGTGATATTGAACCCAATAGCTGAAAAGTTGGGAGATATACTCCATCCTCCAACCTTGGGCATGGAGGAGGAAGGTGATTTATACAAAAGACGTGTAAGATGCTCACCCTTCCGAGGAAGGCATTTTAAGGTCTAGGTTTGGGCATGCTACCAGCTCAGCTCTGGGTGAGACCCAAGAGTGCACCAACCAGACCTTTTTCCACTTCCCCGTCCCTGCTCACAGGGAAAATCATGGGTGTAGAGGTCAGGAGAGAAGAGGATGTGCTCTCACCAGCCCTCTGCCCAAGTGGGAAGCTGAGCTGCTGGGTGCTCCAGTAGGTCTGACAAAAGGGACATAATGTAACCTTGATGAATCTCTCGGGTTAAATTTTTCATAAAGGGTTTCCAGCTGCAAACACTTTACTTTACTGGGTGACTGGTCTGCAGCAGCTTGAGGTACTCCCAAAAGAAGGGGAAACTTTGGGGAAGTCTGTTTGTGAACATGCAATGCCACAAGAACTGGGCTCTGGAAGTGTCTTGACCCCCTCCAGTGTTGTCCACACAGGCTTTTTTGTAGCTGGTGGGTCCACTAGAACTTCTGAGCAGTTTTAGCCTAATCATACTTGTCTTAACATGGATTTCAGGAGGTATATACATGGTTGTGCAATGACTGAAATCCATTTGAAAATCAAAGCGTCAGATATCATTCTTCCCTCCATAACTGATACTGCAACAGCCCTAGGGGTGCTGTGAACTTTTCAGACTCCATCGAGAGAAGTGCTAGGAAGAAGACCAGAAGGAAACCCACGCCTCTGTCCTCTGAGCATCAGTGCTATAAAATCAACAGTGACTAAGTCTTGAACTCAAGGACCTCAGGAGGCAAAGTAGAACAAATGCAGAATTCTTTTAACTGAGTTTGGCTATAACACACTGTAGACAAGAGAGGAGCCCTGGGAAGGAACAGGAGGAGGGCAGTAGACAAAATGCCATGTCAAAGTGTATGTAGATGTGATATGAACTCAAGCCTTTCAGTCAACTTCCTTGCTTGTAATTCCTTGCCTGTGTAATACACTGCAAGGGGTCTAGTTCTTGTGTTTATCCAACAAGGGAAGAGAAAAGTATCTACACATTACCTGTTCATTTGGTCATTAAAAAATTTGAATTCTAAATATTTAAATAATTGCATATTTTTTTAATTAAGAGACACCTGCCTTACAAAAAGTTTTTAGGACCTCTCACATTTTAAAAAATGAAGAAAAGAAATTAGAATTTCTTTACAGATAATTCACCAACACAAAAATAAGCAGAACCAATTAAAAATATGGATTGCTCACTTGCTCAGCAACAATGGGCACTGTTTTCCTCTGTGTATAAGAGAATCTAAATATTTACTGTGTAGTATATAATCTCTTAGCTTTGCTTATTTATGTATAATATACTCTTTTAAGTGCAATTTAGACATATTATGGATCCATGTAGCTTTGAATATTTCCACTTATCTGCAAAACTCACCTGCTTGCCTTTCTTGCCCCTCGTCTTACCTTGTGTTTCCCCACTTTCTCTTTCATTTGCTTTCTCTTTCACTTTCTCTTTCTCTATCCTAATCTTCTTAATTATATTTCCATCTAGTATTTCCAAGTCCCTTAATTGTATATTTATTTCCCTGTTTTGTATACCATTTATTCTCAGTATTTATATATTTATTTCTGCATAAGATTTGCAAGTCCAGCTCAATTTCAAAAAGATTTGATTTAAACCCACAGTTACATAGCAGACTAGAAAAAAATCACTATCTTTATGAAGTGATGATGAGCTGTACACACATAATGGGTATAGATTTGCACATTTAAATGAAAGCTTGACTAGGTTGTTATTCACTGAATGATGCATGTAGGTTTTATTGCTCCTTACCTACACACTGGAAAGCACATTGTCAAAGCTTGAAATGATTTTATGTACTTGAACACCACCTGATTTAATGCATCAGCTGACAAGGACAAAGACATTGATTAAATGTCCTGCCTCAGGTGTCCAGAAGGCTGGAAAAGGTTGTCCCCTCAAACTAACCACTGAAACTTCAGCCAGTAATCATTAACTCAGTATTTGGTCCAAGCTTTAGGAATAACAGGAGGCTTTAAAAAGTGGCAGTCAGAAAACACTCAGTGTGATTTAGGAGACTATTTGAGGTAGAGTCGAGTGATAAGAGTCTCTCCTGATTGGTTAGAAAGGCGCTGGGGGTTTGATCCTTGGAAGGACACCTCTGGACTCTTAGTGAGCAGGGAGAGAGCCCAAAGGGTGCACGGTGAGTACACAGTGCTTGCACGGGGATTGTAAGACAGTCACTTGCAGGGAGATTGTGAGACAGTGGTTACTCTCACTTCATTTGAATTTGTAAAGGCTCTGGGCTGGCCTGCACTGTCTCTTGACAAAGGTGGTTTGCATTGCCAAGAAACAGGTGAACGCTTGAGCCAGCAGTGAGAGGCTACACTGGGTTTTAAATTTTAAAATGCCACTTGGTAGGCTTCAACAGAGCAACATCTAGCCACTGGGTTTCTAGACAGGCATGATCTTTTGATTTGAGGCTGTTCTCCTACATTGCATCTACAACAGTTTTTCACAATCTATAAAATCCACGTGGCATCGCAGAAACCTTGGCAAGAGTAATTTCATCATAACAACTGAAGGAAGTGAGACATCACCTTGTACAAAAGAAGCTTTCAGAAACCCCACAGCCATCTTGGTCATGTTGTTCCAACACCAGCCCAACCTAGAAGACTACCTCCTCTTGGAGTAATGTGCAGTCCAAACACCCAGAGCAGCACAAGGCAGGCAGAGGCTCAGGGGAAGGAAGGTACCTGTCCCAAGAATTAACCCCAGTGAAAGAAACCAGATCTCTAATTCTTGTTTGATGTCCATTTCCTGCTCTCTGTTTTGGTTAGGAAACCTCCAATTGAATACATAAGTGCTACTCTTGCCAAAACTAACCCCTTAACCTAAATGATCCTCTTGTGAACCTCAAATGAAATCAACTATTTAGTGCTCAGCTCATTTGTGCAGTAGAACTGTTAATGTGGTTGTCTAATTTATGGAGCAGCCAGGTTCTGGTTAACAGTGCAAGAGTGTAAGGTGGCAATGAGCAGTCTATTTTCCATGCACACTGGAGCAGAAAACTGTATGTAAAGGAAGTTCTTTTCATAGGTGCAGCACGCTAAAAAGCTTTCACCTAAAATTATATAGCCTGACAAACAATATAAAAACACAGATTGCCCAAAAAACAAATAACATATCAGCCATTTATACAAAACCATACTACTTAAACTCTTCAAGCTTGAAATGACTGTGTATTTTTTTCCCATTAAAATGTTACGGTCTACGTATAAATTGTTTTAAATTCAGATTTGATATCAGTGTGTTTTCAAAGCCTAGATGGATTTAACACTTTTCCCAAGATGAAACATTAGCTCTGGGTGGATGCAGAATCATCTCCAAGGATTTGGTCTAGCGAAAGGTGTCTCTGCCCATGGCAGGGGAGTTGGAATTAGATGATCTTTAAGGTCCTCCCACCCCAAACCATTTTATGAGTCTATGATTTCTTTCCCATCTGGAGTCAGGACACGTGGGGCTGCCAGGGCTCTGATGCCCTTGTAGGAGCCAAGTGGGAGCAATGGGAAGGAAACAATCTCTTCTGGAGGTGAGGTCACACTGCAAACACCCTCTGTGCCTTTCCCTGTGGTTTCACCCAAGCTCCTCATGTCTTTGTTATTGAGTTAGATTTAGACACTCCAAGAGTCAAAGGGGAAGAAGGGTCCACATTAGAATTCAGTAAAGCAAAAGTTCCTGCTCTCCCTCCTGCTATCCAGTGGTTTTTACTTGCACCATGTGCTGCTTACCACCTCAGCCACCCCTCTCAAACCCGACCCTGGCACAGGTCACTCTGCCTCCATGCGCCTGCCTTGTCCGCACCTCTTTTCTTCCTGGGTGTACATTTGTAAATGTTTTAATTCTCCCTCTGCAGGAGAAGCAAGGCCGGGCTCTGGGGGGTGCCGGCTGCAGACCACATGTTTTTTTCCACAAGGCTTTTCCCTTCAAGAACCAGGCAGCCAACCAAGCCCTCAGAGACAACACCTAAGCCATGCATGGGAAAGGCAAAGGGCCTCTACTAATCGCTGACTCAACATGAGCACCAGGCAGATGGATGCAACGTGTTTAATGCATGTGTGTTCACCTGCCCCAAAGGGAACAGCTAACTCAGGCTTTGATATCTGTAGTTAAATGAGCCTACCTATCTTGTTTTAACTTGGCACTATCTGCTAATGTAGAGGCATGAACAACACATTTTTGAGAGAAAGAAGAAGTGGGAAGTTGTGCCCAAACCCTGAATTCTTTTCTAAACACTGCCATTGTCGCAGTAATAGTCTGATACAAATGGTGATGCTAACATGATACCTCACCTGGGTGAGGTGTGAATGTGGATGTATTGGGCTGCTCTCATGTCCCTCACTTGCCTGTTTTCGTTCCCACAGACATTTGGGATTGGCCTGGAGCCTGAGCCATACCAGCCACTTAGCACGGTCTCAAGGGGACCAAGCAACTCTCCTGCCTGATCCTTACAGAGGTCGTGCCATGCCCCGTCAGCCACCAATAGTCCCTTTGCCATTGGAAGACAGAATCCTCCTGGTATCCACCGGCCACATCTCCTACCATCTTGTCATTGGCATGTATTCAACTCCCACTAAAGGTCCATTTGTCAGCTGCCCTGTGGTCAGGGTATCACTCTCATACATTCAACAGTGGGGGTGACTTCTCTGACCTGTAACACATGGTTGTCCCAGAAGTTTGCCATAAGTATGCCTTCATGATCCACTGTGGCTTGGAGGAAGATCACCCTTGCGGGGGATGGGTTTGCACGCTGCGGGAGATGCCTACAACCTCTTCTGTGAAAGTCAGCTGCTCTTTCAGACCCTCACTTAAGTCACTGCCCCTGAGTAAATCACTCTATCCATTACATGGTAAACATCCCTGTCCTCAGAGCTCGCGGCTATTATCATACTGAGTAGCTATTGATCTGGGGCAGCTTGGGACAGTCAGCTGATGGCAACTTCTCAGCTAACTTGATTTCTATTAACATTTGTGTAGGAAGCTCTTCCCATGTTCCAAGATGTTTCTAAATAGTGCAATCCCCTGACTGCACTAGCTGTCTGGCACCCAAACATCTTTCCGCAGCTAGGCAATTCATGGAAACCACCACATGCAGACAGTGCCTCCACTGTGCCAGCAGTGAACTCCCTCTGGAAGTGCTGCTGCCTTATGGGATGACAGAGATCAAGGATGACATGCCTTGTGCCTCCACCTAGACTTTACTTGTGACCTTCTACAATAGTCAGATAGCCACCAGCCACTGCATGTCTCCAAGTACAGGCTCACCCATGTGGCTCTGACAGGAGAGGGTGGATGTGAGCAACATGGGGCCTTAAGAGTGTCTCAACTAAAGAGGAAAGCACTTCTGCCTACAGGGCTAGGGAAGACAGAGCAATTTCTTGCCTCAGGAAACAACACAGAAGTTCACTTCAGTCAGGTCACCAAGGAACCTGGCCTCCCTCACAAAGACCGTTCCCCTATCCCAAAGACCTTTACCCCAGCCCTGGCACCTGCTCTGTATATGCGAAGTATATTTGTGGCTAAGCACAGAGGAGAAGGTGTCCAATAGATGGTGAAGAAATGAGGCTGCACACACAGTATGATTCAGTTTTCTGGATTCTCCACAGAACTGTCTCTGCATTCCCCTTTATTAGAGTTCTTCAGTAAACAGCACCTGGTGTTGTCATTCGGTTAGCTAGAATTCCCAGGACTTTTTGCAAACTCAATGCTTTGATTTACACACTCCTCCTCAGCTCCAAGGCCGAAACACTCCCTTTTGATTCTAATTAACTGAATGGAGGTGCTGCTGGCTTAACTTGTTCCCACAGTGTCCTTCCTTAGACTTCCCTGCAGCTTCTCTGTGTAGACATGAAAAACACTGGCTGACATGCACAAGGACTGGGGACAAGTACATTTTGCAGTGGAAAGGTGTCCTTGGAGGAAGCTGATGCACCAGACTTTGTTCCTGGACTCTCTTGAAGAGAGTTTTGTTTCTGTTTGGTTGGTTGCTCTTTTTGTTTTGGTTTGGTTTGTTTTTTTCCCAAGCAGTAAAAGAGCCTGGGTCAGGAGCCTGCTGTGATCAGCCAGGTCAGGTCCTGTGCTTGTTGCCTCTGGGACACACTGTGTAAACAGGTGGCCGTGTCAGACACTTATTTTTTTTTTTGCCACAAGGCTTGGCAGATTCAATTTTGCAGACTATCAAGGCTTTTTTCCTTAACCATATACAAACACAGGTCTTGCAAATTGCTTACAACTGTAATTGGTGATTACAACTGTGCTTTGTGAAGTGTTCATTAGTACAGAAGAGCTGCAGCATGGATGCATGAATTCTATGATACTCTTAAAAGAAGTTTAAAATGTTAGAAAGTTAGGGGGTTAGGGCTGCAGCTGATGAGTAGATCAGAAATGTCAGTTCGGGCTGTTGAGATGGGCACCCCAGAGCTGCCTGAGCTGAAGCTGTCACTGGCAGGGACAGAAGCTGTGACTACGTTGGAACCTGTTTGAAGGTGACAGGAAAGTCACTCTAGAGGGATTATAGAAAAATAGTCTTTAAAGCATTCACTGACAGGCAGATAAAAACCTTAAAAAAGGGAGAATTTTTTTGTTTGTTTGTTTTAACTGTAAGTGAAGAACAAGTGTGGAAAAAAAAAAAAGAGGTACGGCTGACCAAGGCCCTATTCTGAGACACAAAAAACCATCTGCCACTACAGCAGGGTTGGAGCTAAAATACTCTCCAGAGAAATGGGACTGCTGACTCAAATTCCCTGCTGCCTGAGAAAGCTCCGACCCAGGTTCATAATCAGTGCTTTGCCTGTTGCACAGATGTTTTCAGCTGTAGAATTAAGTTAGTGTGTCATTTAACCTAACTCAACTACAGTTCTCCCCAGGACAAGCAATTGAGTGAACAGATATCTTAGTGCAGTCAAAGAAATTCTTATGCCAGTGAAAGTGTCCTGGGGTTTCCCCAGGTGGTTTTCCTGTTCATCTCTTCTTTGCTAGGCATTCCCTGGCCACTGCTGGGTAGTGGATACTAAGCATGGATCTTCAGCCTGACCTGTGCAACTGCTTCTATATCCTCATATTCCTCAGTATTTCCACTATGCCCTTCTCTGTCTGAGCTAGTTGTCCTAGCTCACTTTATAAACAGTAGACAGGGATATTAGGTTTCAGTTGTCTCCTGGTGAAACAACTGTCCCAAACAGGACAGATAAACATGTGCTAGGAGATGGTGTCACCACTGACAGTAAGCAGAGATGAGAGTGACCAGCAGAGCCAAAAGCACCTGCAGCAGTGAGAGGCAAAAGAGCTGGGTCTCACCCACCCACTGTCAGTGTAACCAGAATGCATCATTTAAATGCTGGGGCTGATCCATACTAAGAGGTGGAGACAGTTCCACACCCTTGTGCAGGATGCAGCTTCTCTCCAGGAAGGCAGTGGAAGCATCTTCCCACGCACAAAGCCCTGAGAAGTCCACTTGCTAACACTTCCTCAGGTATGGGCAATACCTCTTCTCCATGTACAAGTTTATTGTTAGGTGACAAGAGGTGGGAGCAGGGCAAGGGGATAAACCTGGACTAGACATGAATCAGGATAGCTTCTTGAAAGTAGGTGAATGACAAATAAAAATATTCCAAGCAGAAAAAAATATTTCCCTGATATTTCTTTGCACTCCTTTATCCCTTTTTTTCTAATCCCTTTTTTCCTAATCTGTCAGTCTGGAAAAATTTGCGACCATCTTTTCAGTTTAGTGATCTTGAGCCTCAAGGCTTTCTCTATGCAATATGATGCAGACTGGCTTATTATTAACCAAAAGAACTGTGAAGAACAAAAATACTTCTTGGTTTATTAGCACTGTTCATATTGCCAGATGCTGACAGGCAGGCAAATTATGTAATGTTCAGCAGTTTTTCAGTTAGAGACATTCAAGGAGAGCTATTTCAACAGGTGAAAATATACGGTTTGTTACAATACAAGACTGGAAACTTCTCCAATACAGCTGAAGTCCTGGATCACCTCATTTCAGGTGAAAGAGTTTTTGCAGGTACACTTCTGCAGATCCCATAAACTTGATAGACAAGCTATAGATCAGGATTTTGAATCCATAACGGCCTGGTAGGGTGAGAAAATCTGACAGTAGTCCTAAATATAAAAGTTGAAGGTGGTTATTCTTTAAAAAAATCTATTTATTTTAATCAAAAAGTAACATTCAATCTCTCCTGGCTTCAATCAAGAAACATTTGGTTCAAGATTCTGATTTTACAGCAAAAACCGAAACCATCAATTAGAAGAGGAATTACATTCCCTGAAATAAAGAGACAAACACATTCACAAAAATTTATTGAATCAGAACCCCATTTTCAATTGAAAAAAAGTTTTGCCAGAGCATTTTGTACAAGTCTTTGTGAGCAGGTCATAGTTTTCAATCCCATCCTTGAGTACTGTGAGTTGCCTTACATCGTGCTCAGACCCCATGGGCACTATTCTGAACAATAATATCAGTAACTTACACATATTAGTGCAGAGCAGTAGTCTTACTTTGAAATTTTGGAGGGAGGAGACAACTAACCTGAAAATTTAGATACTGGAAGAGTTCTTTCTCTAGTCATGACAAAATGACACCTTTTGTAATTTTCTGCTCTCCAGTGTCACATCCAGCAGTTACCTGCAGGTATTATTTTAAGACAGAAGGATACATATATTTGAATTTTTCCCTTTGCCTAGATTTTACAGACATTCATATGACTGAAGTTATTTGTTTGGGTAGACCATGGTATATGGATCACAACATTTTCCAATACCCATAGGTCATGTTTTATACTGTCTAATTGTATTGGGTTTGTGTGACAAGGTTTTGGTATTGGGTGGCTTCTGTGAGAAGCTGTCAGAACGTTGCACCATGTTCAAAAGAGGCAAGGTCAGCCAGCTCCAAGACAGACTCACTGATGGCCAAGATCGAGCCCATCAGCGGCAGTGGTAGCAGTACATTCAAGAAGGGGGAAAAAAGCCCTGTGCAACTGCAGCAGAAAAGAGGAGTGAGATTATGTGAGAGGAACAGCCCTGCAGACACCAAGGCCAGCAAAGAAGGAGGAGAAGGAGGTGCTCCAGCAACCAGAGTAGACATTCTCCTGCAGCCCATGGTGCAGCCCACAGAAGTCCACAGTGGAGCAAATATCCACCTGCAGCCATGAAGGACCCCATGCTGGAGCAGGGGGATGCCTGAAGGTGGCTGTGACCATGGGAAGCCCATGCTGGAGCAGGTTCCTGTCAGGACATGCGGACCCATGGAGAGAGGGGTTCACTCTGGAGCAGGTTTGCTGGAAGGACTTGTGACTTTGCAAGAGACCTGTGATGGAGCAGGCTGCTCCTGAAGGACTTCATCCCATAGGAGGGATCCTTGCTATAGCAGTTCATGAAGAACTGTAGCCCATTGGAAGGACTCATGGAGGACTGTCTCCTGTGGAAGAGATCTCATGCTGGAGCAGGGGAAGTATATGAGGAGTCCTCCCCCTGAGGAGAAAGAAGCAGTGGAAACAATGTGTGGTGAACTGAGCACAACCCCGTTCCCCATCC